AAAATTCATATATATATATATGCATAAATTTTTGAAAACATGGTGCTTTCTACGAAGATGTAAAATATTTATCTTCATTTAAAGAGTAATTAAAAAATGTCTTAACAAAGAAAAAAATGGAGAAAGGAAATTCAAATTTAAAGTTTGATTGAAGCGTTCAAATTTCTGAAGAAGCTGTCATGATTAAAATATGAAACATAATCCGAATCCATTAAAAATCTTTTGTTAAAAATTGATTTCTTGCTTCAAGTGTCAACACTGTTAAGAATTCGATACCTTTTTTAATGGGAAATTGTAATGAGTGTAGTTTCGTAATTAAATTAGGAATACATTTCCATAACTTTCGAGTTCTAAGTTTTACGGGCTTTGATAGTAACTTTTTAGAAGTCATGATTTTTTTGAAGTCCTAATAGTGATAGGAATACATTCATAAAATTATTCTTTAGTTTAAAATTTGACAATGCTTTTTTTTTAGCAATAATTTAAATTTTTCAGGGAATGCCAAGTCAAAATAATTTTTAGCCATTGTAAAATATCTATTAAAAAATTTATGCATTATCATTTCTTCAATAAATAAACATGAGATTAATCTCAATAGTTAGGCTTAGTCAGATATTTAAAGATACATATCCCTTTTTTCTAAATATTTTATATTTTTCAAAAGAAATACATTTTCGATTTATTTTAAAATATTTGTTTCTTAAAATATTTTAAGTTTTATTAATGCAAAAATTCTAAAGTCAACTTCGTTTGATGCAAACTTGTAGACTTTTATTTTCTGAAGAAAAATTAGGAAGTATCTACTTTATATTTATCTTGAGCGTATTTCTACAAAAAAAGTATAACTTTTCTTTCAAATTGAGCTACGTTAAGTAAACTGTATTTTTTAAATAATTTCATATTGTGTAAACAAGTTAATGTGTATAAAAACAAAACAATGTTTAAGAAAATATTAAAATGGTATCTGACATCAAGAAATTTAACTTTTTGAGTTCAAAGCAAAGGAAATAGCAGTCTTGTTCAGGAAATATACTCATTGGATATATACTTATTTGGAAAAATGCTCGAAATAATCATTATTACAAATTTGCATCATGCATAAAATTATGATTACTACAGAGTGTTAAAAAGCTTTTTAAAAGCAATTTTCGGTTATTTTATCAAGGCATTTATATTAGATACTTCTAGAAGTTTCTTGTTGTTAAAAAAGTTAGCGTTAAAGCAGCACTATTTAAAAGGATTTTTAGTAAATTTAATTCTTACTATATGAATTTATTTTTTAGCCTGACATTCATCTTAATTTTCTTCCTAGAAGAAGCATTTTGAGTTTCAAACTAAGTTTTAAACTGAAATGATCCTGCCTGTTTATAATTTATTATCAAAGGAAGTAAATTCAATTACTTATACCCTTATAACAAACATAGAATTCTTTTAAATAGAACTTGAGAACCAACTGTTGCAAAAGCACATTTTTAACTAAACAAATACCATTTTTGAATCTTTCAAAACCGTCTGCTCGATATGCGAAAAATCTTTTGCAAAGTGAAAATTCTTCCGTTTCAATTCCCGATTTAGAAGTTACAAACGAAACGACAAAAGCTTATTCTTTTGAACAAATATTTTAAGATAAGACACGTACCCTTGAAGAGGGTTAGTGGGTAGCTTGAAAGAAATTTCTACTTTCCATCGTTCGACATCGAACGGCAGTCTAAAAATAACGCAGGGAGGTGTCTCGAATGCTTTAACGAAATTCCACACTGTTCTTAAAAGAACGT